AGTATTAGTATCAAGCGATTGCAGCATGTCACATAGTTTTTCTCTGTATGTGTCAGTTGGATCGGACGGTAATGTGGTATATGTTGATACATCGGATAGCTGTCGATTTATTTCATTGCTATACATATCAGTATCAAGAATCGTGATAGCACCGCCCTTATCAGCTTGCTTAATAGTAATGGTGGTATTCTGTCTGAGTTCTTTAATGGCCGTGCGTTCATTTTTCTTAAGGTTGTCATTCGAAATTTGCTTATTAGGTTTTACATCAATAATATTGTTTTGAATGAACATATCCAGGTGCGATTTGGCAGCGTTCACAAAGTTATCTATATAAGTGTTCCTGTTGCTAGGTGGTGTCCAACGTTTCTTGTCATTTTTTGTTGTCTCTCTCCTATTGCAACGTGCATTGCCTTGTTTTTCTGAGTTATTAAGTGGTGCATCTTTGAAATACTCTTTGAGTTGAATTCTCCTTGTAAAGTCATCCAGATCAGAGCAGAGATTAATTGGATCAGACTTGCGGGTTGGACAATATGATAAGCCCTTCTGTAGGACGGATATTTGGTCTGTCGTTAAGTCGCGATTAGATAAATTAGCAATAATTGTTGGACGGCTGTCATTATCGTTAGCAGTAGTTTTCGGGAAGCAACTAAATAGAGCTGAATTAGGATTGTCACATAGCCCTCGCAGTAGTGGATCTCTTCTAGACAACTTCTTGATTTTTTCACGTTTAGATCTGAAGCATTTGTGGAGCTCTTCATTATATGTAGAGTATAGAAAGTTGTTGATTTGCTTACCATCATTCCTGGATACAAGTTTTGATAGTTGATCAGTGACATTGGCGATGTCCTTATTTATTCTGTGCTGATTATTGTATGCGTCATCAGTTGCGATTTGTTTTTTAGAAGCCTCAAGGATGATCTTGTTGCTTTTACTTGGTCTTGAAGATGTGTTCAACAGTGGGTTCTTGATTAACAGTCCATCTGGTATGAGATCTAATTTTTTACACTGTTTCAAAAATACGATATGTGATCTTGTATGTGCCAATCTACAGTGCAAATGCTCTAGTTGTCGTCTTACGTGCAAGGTTTCGCCGTCAATACGAGGTCCAAAATTTAAATTAGGCATCAATGTGATTGGGGGACGTATGTTCCGGTCCTATCATATGTAGTGAGACTGAGAACAAGTAACAGAAAACGAGGGTTGAC